GCCTTCTGAGAAGGTATGTGGATCCATATAGGGTTGTAATCCCCGCTAGACCCGGATCCTGAGACCATGGACCGGCCACGAGTCGCGACGTCGTCACGACGCCGATTTTTCGTGATCCGTCGTTGCCTTTGGTTTTCGCGAGGACGGGACGACGAGTTGGGAGGATGTTGGTGGGCTTTGGATGTGTCCCCAATGGGACTGGCACATGTGCCGACCCAGAAAGACCCCCCTGGCACCACCACCCCCTGGCCGTTTCTCGGCAGTCCGACATGGCAGTCCCATGGGTCGCGTTTGGGCATTGTGGGTCCAAATAACTGCATTTGGCCATCCTCCCAACGGGTTCCTGCAGAACGGCCACCTGGAAAGACCAAAAGGATCCTCGACCAAGCAAGGGGGGTGAACTCCACGTATCGTTCAACTGCGGGGAAGGTGGCTTTGGACACGTCTAGAAGCCGATCAAAACCCACGGGACAAGGCACAAGGCTGAGACCTTTGAGCGTTATTCCACGGGGTGGAAAGCTAAGTACAAAACCCTAGGGATCCAAATGCCTTCTCAGGTTAGGTGATGTGTTCGACACTGTGATGTAGGTGCCAAAACGTCGGGTCCAGTCATACCTAACCTGAGGTCGGTACGACTGGATCCCTGCTTACCTCGGAGATGTGGGGAGTCTTCTTGCAATCGAAGCAGGTTCGATTTTGGGAGACCTCTTAGGAGCTCGGTTGTTCATTGCCCCCCAGACCATCGGCCTGGAGTACGTCGACCCCATTGACTGGAATACATCAACTCACCGGTGTTTCTCGTGGAGGAAGTCAGGATTGCCAGGACTGCCAGACAGGTCGTACCTATAGATTGGGGACATATTGCTCTAACTCTAACTTGTATTGACCAGGACCGAAAGCAAGTTCGGTGGTTGAAAGGACGCCCTGAAAAAGTAACCTCAGACAGAGGCTATTTGGGATAAATTGGGATTGTGATGGATTGTGTTGTTTTCTACTTTTCTTCCAGCCGGCCTCCACCCGGTCCCTGCGCCGGGGTCCCCCCTGCCCCTAGAACCTCCGAGGTCCGCCCTTTCGCATAGCTCCCGATCTGATCGCAGTGGCTCTCTCCACGTCCGAACGCCCGTCGACACTTGGTGCGCTTCGATGCCTGGCCCGAAGGGAAGGAGGAACCGGCTGGTGTGCTTCGGGCCTGGATGGGCCTTGGTGGGGGCAAGGAGGACCGTTCTTCAAGGGTGATAAGTCGAAGTCCAAAGACGCCGTGGTCACATTGACAAGTATACCAGGACCTTCAGGACGTGACCTCTTTGGAGTCTCTGTTTGTGACCTCTTTAGGGACGAGTCGTGACCTCAGCCACTAGGATCTCAAGGACGGTCACTTTGAAGGTCCTGGTGCCCAGTGACACAGTGATCTGTGTGCTTCCACACCCCACATTTTGGGGAGGTGGTGTCTTTAGGTTCCAGGAAGAATTGAATCGATCAACGAGATGGTTCGATCATCCATTAGAGATGTCGACCTGGCCTTCATTGTTAGACCCAAGGTTATATGCTTACTTTGACCTCCGAAACCACCCCCAAGGTAGGTCAATAGGCCGTTCATGTGGTGATCGCGGTGGGATGGATCGCGGTGGGAACAAAGCTCATTGAGATTTGGGATCGAGATTTGGTTGGAGTTGGGGCAAAACACTGCTTGGTAGGGTCGGAACGAGTGTGAAACAGTAGCTATCACACCTTCGCATTTGACTTGGAAGGGAAGAAGTTGCTAGCATAGGCCATTGTAATGATCGATATGTGATCGATCAAAAGACCTGGCATGAGAAGGTCATTGGAGCCCGGCAAGCCACCTGAAATCAAACGACATCCCACAAATCACCTTCTGAGAGGATCTGAAAAGGGCATGAAACGATCCTTCCTTCAAGCAACTGAAAGTGGGTGCGCTGAGAACTGAGCATCTTCAAGCCAGTCAATCCTTTGCTGACGGAAGAATCCTGAATCTGGCTTACTTCGCTGACTTCGGCAGATGGCAGCACAGAGTAGCCCTGAGAGTCCAGGAGAATGACTCATGAACTACCCCGAACTGAGTCAGTGGTCCATTATGACTTTCCGGGTCGGGTCGTTCATGAGTCATTGGACGTTCTGGGTAGCGTCTGTAGGATTCCTTCAGTCATCTTCAGCCCTCAGCCCCTTTGAACTCCCCGGGCTCAACTTCAGGGTCGCTGGGTGAACGGCGGAGAATGGGTGCTGAACCTATTGTCCCGAACAGGGTGAACCATGGTGAACCCCCTTGATGGACATGTGTTTCTTTCTTCAGGCGCTTTTTGGACGCCCGACATAGAGTCATACTGGTTGACATGGCAAAAGTCATCAGATCCACTCCACCAGGACTGGATGTTGTGATTGCCGTGGGCCTTTCACTTATAATCTGCTCAGCCATCGGCCCAAAAACCAACTGTTCATCGGCAGCCGTGCACATTTGGGCGAAGTACGTAGCGAACGAATCCTTGTTGACAGAAGATGTCGTGAAGCACAGTTAGTATGAGCTAGTGTGGGTTTTCGGACCAGCGGCATCTTCCCCTTCAACCTCGAAAAGGCATAGTTCAGTGAAGAGTTCAGCTTTCCTTGTCCCCTCAAAAAGCATCAAGACCTACCAAGCAGTATAGAGCCCAAGATCATGTCAAATGTGCTGTTGGAATCAAGCTTGTTGGATTCGTTGCTTCTGGTGACTGCGGTGTTGGCTCGTGTTCTTCCATGGTGCATCACCGGCAGCCACACCCATGGCGGCTGACCAGCACCCGGCACCGCGCCGGGCGCGGAGTGTGTTGCAGAGCGGTGGCGCGGCACGAGGGAGTGAGGAAGCATGTCTGGTCTCAAGCCCCCCCCAGAGCGAAATCGATCCACCGAAACATCAAAAGCATCAGAGTTTGGGAGAGAGAGAGAGTGAAGAGAGAGAGGGAGAAACAGGCAGGCGGGCAGGACAGAGACACAGACAGACAGGCAGGCAGGCAGACAGGCAGACAGACAGTTTCGTAAACACTCTAGACGTCGTATAGGCCATTGCATTTTCAGGACCCAGGGTGCAGTCCAATCATTGGATCAGACGAATATAGGGGTCCATTGGGCCCCTGGAGATCAATGACCACCCCTCCAAACCGGCACCGCCACCAGAGCTGCCGCGGTTGCCATGGTGTTCCCGCCTGGTGACTAGCGAATGAGTACCAAGGCTCTCCAGACATTTACTGGAACTCTGGACGAGAGTCCTGGGCTGCGGCTTGGAGAAGTTGATGTGGAACGATGGAGCTTGAAGCTGCATGGGATGAAGCTGATGGGGCTCATGACGTTGATGTGCGCTTTTTCACTTTCATGGTTGAAGTTGGAAGGGTTTTCATGGTTGAATTGTAGCAAGAATTGGTCAATTGTTGTACGGGCACTGTTGGGTCCACCCCCCTGACTGCGTCCCACAGTTTCACACCAATTGGTGACACAAACTCTGGTTACAAGCTCTGACACATTGTTTTTAAATCCTTTATCCCACCCCAGTCCCTAACATAGCAACCACCTGGAAGATCCATTGTCAGGGCGAGAGTTGGCTGCAGGGCAGGTCACTAGTCCGAGTCGATGCACTTTGGGCCAGCTCTTTGACACCATGTCATTCCACTGTCACTGTGCCAGCCTGATTAGCAATGGCCTCCAGCCTAATACCAATGGCCTCCGACCTAATACCAATGGCCTCCAACCTAATGCGATGGCCTCCAACCTACTAGCGTTGGCATCCAACCCAAATAGCGATGGCATCCAACCTAATAGCCATGGCCTCCAACCTAAGTAGCGATGGCCTCCAACCCACTAGCGATGGCCTCCATCCGCGAAGGACCCAAGAAGTTTCGGTCTTGGGTTGGCCTTTTGATCGGTCATCCGCCGATCGGACTTCCCTTCCGCAGGGTTCAGCATGGAAGATTTGGCTGACCTGCAACCGGACCAGTGACCGGTGTGTCATGGATAAAACGGTTCAAACCCAACGGCCTCAACTTGAATGATAAGACCTCGCCATTTGACCACAAAATGATCTCCAGACGATCTCCTCTCCCGATCTCTCCCGGCACTTTTTCTTACAACCCTTCTCATCGCTACCAGCTCCTGTGACTGTTACCCGACCTTTGACTCTTACCTCTTCAACAGCGTTTGACCGGGTCATCTCCCTCCACGGCCTCTTCACACCGTTCGAGGTGCACTTCCCTCGTGGCGGAGTACGGACCTGCAAGATGTTCTCCACCAACCCTTTGATGCGCCAAGGCGCGGCGGTGGAGAGGTCGACCTGGACGACGAAGAGGTGGACGCTGAAGCGACGATACATATGGCGGCCGGGGCATGTGGAAGTCTCAACGAAGTCCAGTCGGACTGCAGTTTTCACCTGTTCCTTGACTTTTTGATCAGGGTTTCTCTATGACCAAATCCAGTCAAATTATGAGATCCTTGACCTGTTGGGCACGGGTTTTGAGTGGCTCAACTCTGTGCATGGAAAGGATTCACCATGATTCACCTGCTACAGGGTCACAGGGTGTAAGAACGGCACAAGCCGAGATCGTACCTAGCCGAGATCGTCACCCCTAGGCCCGAGCCGCACAAATTACAAGGGTTTGGCAAGCACGACATGTGATGAGCCGCTTGCCGCTTGCCGGCTCACGTGCGAAACGAGAAAGATGACTGATCAGCCCAAAAGACCCTATATGAGCCATGGAACAAGTGCATTGCTACTAGGAACAAGTGCCTTACTAGTAGTAAGAAGTGCCATACTAGTAGTAAGAAGAAGCTATTAGTTAATCTAATTCCCAAATGTCTTCAAGTTCCAGGTGTTCACCGGAACTCATCCATCCGAAAACTTGGTTCTTGGAGGGGATAGGGGAGGTAGGATCCAGACTGTGTGCCAAGGGAGGGCCTTGGCGGGCCTAAGTCGTAAACGATCACCTCAAGTAGCGCCTCCTAGTCATGCACGCCTGGTACATGTGATTTGTTGCACACCCGCTCGCGCATGCAACAAACACGCACCATTTCATCACGCGTCCCTCTTTCTCTTACATCATGGCGTCTCTCCTGGCTACGAGCAAGAACGACATGGAGGAGAAAGAGGAGAACGACATGGATGTGATCGAGATCCATGTGCTTGGCTTGGATGGTGAGGGATTTGCTTTGCCACTCGCCGCCCTTGGGACGCCATGTCAGGTAGGGCGCAGCCAAAGGCTGTGTTCCGCCCCTGGAGGGTCACCTCCGGGCTCGGATGGTCTTAGAGGTGAAAGGATTTGGAGCAACAAGGACCTCCTCAGAGGGGGGGGGCCTCAGGGATTTGGCACATAGAATTAGCCGCTATGAAATTAGCTACCTAACATGGCATCCTCAAGAAGATAGCTAATAACCATGTAGAAGTGTAGAACGCATGTGCATGCATTTGCCTGTGTTTTTTTCATTTATTCTGTTGATTGGAAAAGGCTTGTGGTTGGTGGTCCAAACAAGCACAGCTTCTAAGATATTAATATGCCAATCCATATGCCTGAACCAACTGTTTTACCAGCCATGGAATGTTTGTTTGGCTGCTGAATTTGGTGTTCTGAATGAGAGCAACGTGGGGTGTTGACCCAGGGCTCCAACCTTTGCTTGGTCGCAAAGGTTGGGGGACATGGCTCCGTTTAGGTGGTGCTGGGATGGCCCCTGACTCATCGTTTATGGTTCAGTGGATGGCCACTGGGATGTGAACAGTCGTTTCGTGTTGGTCTTCTTCCACCAGTCCCCATGAGCCCAAAGTATTTGAGGTCATTACCCCTAGGGCTCCAGTCGTGCCTCCTCCGAAGGTATTTGGACCCTCCTGGCATTCGCCCCAGTCCCACCTTCTCAGAAGGTACGACTGGAGCCCTGGGGTACATCACCTGAAGATCATTTAGATGTTTGTGGTCCCAGGGAAGAATGAGTTCAGTTCCCTTCCAACCCATGAGCTCGAAGCTTGACTGCCCGCGTCCCAAGGAAAAAAGACCGTGTGTCACCCAGAGAGCCCCCCCCCCGGAGCTACTAGGAGCAAGGACGCTATTAGGGGCTCCTGGCATGGCTAGGAACAAGGTTCGCTACTAGGCGCATACCAAACTGGTGGGTTTCGATGATGCTCTTCAGCCTCCTTCGCTGAGGAGGCTTCCAGACACCAAGAGCGGGCAAGATCTATGGGAGACGTGGCGTGGACGGATCCAGGACACGAAGCTGTGGACGTTCGAAAGGACCTGTTTGGGACCGTGGATACATGTGGATACGAGCTCTGAAGAGCTCTTTGAAGTGGGGCCAGGTCCATGGGTGATTTCTTGGGACTTCGCCAAAGCTTTGGTGTCAACCAGTGAAGTGGAACTCTTGAAGATGGGGAATTCATGGACAATTGGAACCAATCTTTTGGGAGAAGGCACGCACACGCACACACAAAAAGGCATGAAACACTCTGGGGCGTTGCGTAAATGTTGCTTGTTCTCAAGCTTTTGTACTTGGGGTACTTTGGTTGGAGTGGAGAGGCACTTGGAATCGTCGCTTTCTTCATCGGTTTAAGGAGAGGATTGCTGGGCGCTTGCCGCCGAAAGCGGGTGCCGGACTGTCCATCTACAAGGGCTCTGAGAATCTGGGCGTTTGTGCCGGTCCGTGTGCTTTGAAGAATCCAACAGAGGTTAAGTGACCCTATAGAACCCTACCAGGCCCTACCAGGGTACCTATGGCATAGCCTATAGGGTTCTTCAACCTCTGGATCCGAATGGGCCCTCCATGGCAGGGGTCGGACCTGGACCCGAAACGCCACGCAGGGGGAAGGTCCGGGCCTCCAAGCAACCCGTCTTTGAGGGGGATTCTTCTTTCGCTGGTTTATCAAGCGACACCGGGTGAACCTGAAAACGGAACATTAGCTATAGGCCGAAAAGAGGTGCACCTAGTGGTGCACCTTGCTTGGTCCACACGAGCTGCGGACAAAATAAATAGGACCACATTGAGCAAACACTTGAAACTTCGACACCCTGGAAGATGTTGTCCTGGCGCCACGGATGAACCCAGTGGACCCTCAACCTGACTTCACGGCTTGTCTTGGTGGTTGTCACGGCGGATTGAAACGGAACTGTTTGTTTCTTCGGGACCTCCACGGTGGCATAGGTATCAAAAAAAAATAAAAAGAGCATCAAAAAAAATAAAAACAGGATCAAACAAAAATAAAAAGCGAATCAAAAAATATATATTCCTTGATAGGCCTCTTCTGCTGCTCTCCTGGCCTTGTGGTCTGCGGGTCCTCTGGTAATGTGGTCCCTTGGTCCACTGGTCCTTTGGTCCCCTGGTCCCTTGGTCCTTTGGTCCCCTGGTCCCTTGGTCCTTTAGTCCACTGGTCCCCTAGTCCTCCGGTCTCCTGGTCCTGTGGTCCGCTGGTCCCCTGGTATCCTAGTCCTTCCCACTACTACTCCTACTACTCCTCCTCCTGCTGCTGCTGCGCTGCTGCTGCTGCTGGTGCTGCTGCTGCTGCTGCTACTGCTACTGCTACGCTGGTGCTGCTGCTGGTGCTGCTACTGCTACTGCTACTTCTACTGCTACTGCTACTACTACTACTACTACTACCCCAACCATCCTCAGTGGGCTAGAATATTTTTTGATTCCCTTTTTATTTTTTAATTGATCCCCGTTGAATATTTTTTGATTCTATTTTTACTTTTTTTTTGATCCCTTACCCCTCCACGGTGGGGACACCACACCGGCATGGCATACCATGGCCCTGTGAAAAAGCGAAAGCGCCCTGTGAGAAAGCGCCCGCCCTTGGAGAGAGGCTGGAACGTTTGGGGAAAGGAGCGCTCCTGAAAAGATCTTCGTTTTGCGACGACTGGATCCGTTTTCACGGCAGCAGAAGTAGTAGGAGTAACGTAATGTGCTGGCTAGTAGTAGTCATCGTCGTCGTAGTCGTGGTCGTAGCCCCAGCAGTAGTATCCAGTCGTAGTAGTTGTCGTATAGCAATAGCAGCAGCAGAAGTCGTATATTGCATTATATAGTGCTAGTTGTTGTCGTCACCACCGTTGTTTTTGGTTCTTCTTTCAACCTTTTGCCACGTTTTCCCGAGGAAAATCCATGTCTTCCAACCCTCTCCCAGGAAGCTCCAGCTGCGCCAGACTTTGCGAGAACAAGGTGTGCATGATGGCGCCACGCTCTCCTATGCTTGGGTCCGGACCAATTTGGGCAAGGCCATCGGCTACATCGAGCCTCTATGGTGCAGATACATAGACAGGGATCCTATGGCGCTCGAAGGTGTTACACAATTGACGGCGGTGGCCAACTTGGAGAGTTTGCCCGGACACCTGCCACGGAGTCTCCAAAGTCTTATTTTTGCCGATGAGTTCAACAAGAGCTTACGTGGCGTGATTCTGCCCAGCGGTCTTCAAAACCTTACATTTGGATGTGACTTCAACAAGAGCTTGGAGAGCGTGAACTTGCCAAGCGGGCTTAAGAGCCTGACTTTCGGCTCTGCGTTCAACCAGAGATTAGAGGACACAGTTCTGCCAAGCGGGCTTGAGAACCTAACTTTTGGCAAGAAGTTCAACCAGAGCTTGACGGGGGTGAAATTGCCTGACGGGCTTAAGAGCCTTACTTTTGGCAATGAGTTCAACCAGAGCTTAGAGGGCATGATTCTGCCAAGGGGCCTCCAAAGCCTTGACTTTGGTTTTTATTCAAAGCAGAGATTGGAGAATGTGAACTTGCCAAGTGGGCTCAAGAGCTTTACGTTCGCCTTTTTGTTGAATCAGAGCTTAGCAGGCACAATCTTGCCTAGCGGGCTTAAGAGCCTCACTTTTGGCCCTACATTCAAACAGAGCCTGCAGGGCATGATTCTTCCAAGTGGGCTTGAAAGCCTTTCTTTTGGCATGGGGTACAATCGCAGCCTACGGGACGTAAATCTGCCAAGCGGGCTTAAGAGCCTTGCATTTGTTGGCATGGGGTTCAGCCAGAGCTTAGCGGACGTGAGTCTGCCAAGCGGGCTTGAAAGCCTTAGCATTTGTTTCAACGAGAGCTTAGAGGGGGCGAGTCTGCCAAGCGGGCTTAAGAGCCTTACATTCGGCTTCCAGGGGGGGTCAGAGCATATGAGTTTGCCACAGGGGCTCAAGAGCCTTACTTTTGGCGATGATTTCAATCAGAGCTTAGAGGGCATGATTCTGCCAAGTGGGCTTGAAAGCCTTTCTTTTGGCATGGGGTTCAATCACAGCCTACGGGACGTAAATCTGCCAAGCGGGCTTAAGAGCCTTACTTTTGGTGATGAATTCAACCAGAGCTTAGAGGGCGTGAATTTGCCAATGGTGCTCCAGAGTCTTACTTTTGGCGATGAGTTCGACCAGAGCTTAGAGGGCACAGTTCTGCCAAGCGGTCTCCAAAACCTTACCTTTGGACACTGCTTCAACCAGAGCTTGGAGGACGTGAACTTGCCAAGCGGGCTTAAGAGCCTTACATTCGGCTTTGCGTTCAATCAGAGCTTAGCAGGCATAATTTTGCCTTGCGGTCTTGAGAGCCTTACTTTGGGTGAGAGGTTCAACCAGAGCTTAGAGGATGTGAGTCTGCCAAAGGAGCTTCAGACCCTCTCTTTTCAGTATGACCACAGGGATACACCAGAGACCATGCCTTGGACAGAACACCTACCAGACCGCACGTTTAGCGAATATTTTGGCAAGAGCTTGGAGCGCATGAATCTGCCACCCGGACTTCAAAGCCTGAGTGTGGGTCAGCTTCGTGTGTCCGTGGGACCATGAGTCTAAGCACGAGAAATACAGCGTTCACTTGCAAAACGATGCGAGATCAAAGAACCACATGATTCATGATCATCATCCTGACAATCATCATTCATCATAATCAGGGTTAGCCCACATGCAGACACCGACAGAGAGCGCGTTTGTATCATGACCCTCCGGCTCGCAAACAAGACAAGAAGCATAGAAAAGGGACGGCTGAGGGTACATGACATTTAGCAGGGTTCGTGCCGCATTGTCAGCCTGAAGTAGATCCATCACAAACGCACCACATGGCTTAGCATGGTCAGAGCGTGAAGATATTTTTGAACGTGTCCAATATATATATATATATATGGCTGCGGGCTGTGGGTCATGGCACCAGGCGACCGCGGGTTGACCACCGAACATGAACAGATTGGACTATGAGCATCTATGAGTTCCCTGGTGAACCGACGACACGGGTCAATCCGGGTCTAACCGGGCTCCATGTGCCATGCCATCCACCGCCATAGCTGGCAAGCATTGGTTCCGAAGATCAAAGCCACTCCATAGAGGTCAATACTCCGTGGATTGTTTATAGAGGTCAACCAGTAGGTCAACCTACAACCAGATGCAATGACCCACAGCCATATGGTTCACCTTGCGTATACCTTGGGTTTGTCCGTTCTTACCTGTAACAGTCAGTAAACAAGCACATCACTCTTTTGGAACAAGGCTTCATCCACTGAGGCCTAGGTAGACTTGGATAGACCCAACATATACCCGAAGAATTCGAGGTCAATCCTGAACCAAAAGCCCCACGTTTTCGGCCCACCCATCAAGCAAGAATCACCCGAAGTCTGAGTGGATCGAAACCGGTGTGCCCGGTCGGGTGATTCACGACTCCGGATCCAAGCCTTTTCCCTTCATTGGGACTCAGGTCCAGAGTTCCTAGGGGAGAACATGAAGAACTTGATCAACTTGATATGATTTCCCGGACCAATCCATTCCTCCCAATCAGTTGCCCGACATCCTCCTGCAACCTCGCAATAGTTGTGCGAGCTCGTTGGACCACAGATGTCGGAATCGGTCGAGATTTGAATAATGTGAGGGACCTTCAAACATGCAAGGTGTTCATGATGTGTCCCTAGAGCCTGAGTGACCTCTATTTTGGAGGATCAACTATCCAATATGGTCTTTTCCTATCAAAACAGAGATCACTCATGGCTCTAGGTCCCAATCCTTAATTCGCACTAGATGGCACAAATCCAGGACACCTCATGTTTTTGGTGCTTGGAGGGCCTTGTCAAACACCTAATCGCAGCAGAGGAAGAGAACACCAACCAATGCCCTTTCCGCTCGCTCGTCCGCGCGATGCTCGCCAGGCCTCAGCCGAAGCGAGGCGGAAAGCACGGCGCTGGAACGGGCCAAGGAGTTTCGGCAAGAGCTGCTGAAGCAAGGCGACCCGCACCGCACCGAACGAAGCGCACGGCGCGGGTCGCACCGACGACGGTCGCGAAGATGGGCGAAGGTTCGTTCGTTTGGCTCTGGCTGAAGCAGCGCGAGTTGTCCTGGTGGGTGGTATTTGGGGGTGCGCGCAGGAGAGCAGGAAAGGTACTTAAATATATGGTGTAGGTATAGGAGGCTGGTCTCAAAATGGACTATGATAGATCATAAGTAGAGCAAAGCCGCGGTTAGGACAAGCAAATTGTGAAAGATTGACGTCACCTCAGGGCCATGTAATAGGCAGCCAAAACCCACGGGCCGACCACCTAAAACCACCAAATGGGAGTCTGAGATGCACCCATGCCACCACGCCACCGTCTTCAGGCCGTTGGAAAGGTGTTTTCCGTTTTGATTCCGATAGATTGGAACGGGACACTGGGTGGTGGTGTTTGGATATGGTTATTTTCAACATTTACTTGTTTGGGATGAGTGAACCCACTGACTAATCAACATCTCTGAGTTCAATCCTCCAAGCAGGAAGCTTTTGGTCCCCAGAAAGCTTTTTGTTGGTGGCATGACACCAGACATTCTTTAGCCCTAGGGGTCCAAGTACCTTCGCAGAACGCAATGGACCCTCCAAACCCACCCCAAACACCTTCTGAGAAGGTACTTGGATCCCCAGGGTAGGGTTTTGGATGGTTTTGGATTTGTCTAAGTGGAATTCTGTGAATCTTCGGGCCCTCAAGTGGCGGTTATGACCTGTTTTCCCTGCGAAGGGGTCCATGCATGGGGTAACTGGTCTTCCGTTTGCCCTTGGGCCAGACGGGCTGTCGCCAGCACTGACTGGTAGAAGAGCAGAGGTTGTCAACAGCAAATCCACAAGAATTCACCGTCAAAGAAAGGGAAAGGCAAAGGACATGTGAGATGATTGTTTTTACATGGTGCCTGGCATCAACAACGAACCTCAAAGGGTAAGGTGACCGTAGGTGACCCGGCGCTGTCTAAACACAACACTCCAGCTCAGCTTCAAAATGCAACCTCAGCTTGACTCCAGCTATCAAACTCTAATGTCAGTCGTGCTACAGTCAAACAACTGAGCTTGTTCGTGTCAAGCTCAGCTCGGTTTGACCGAGCCTGTTCTCCTCCAGCAATTCGCAGGGATTCTGAAGGAGCCAGTGACGAAGGACGAGCCGCAGAGCCCGGTCGTGGGCGTCAGCTGGCAGAAGGAGCTCCAGACGCTTCGCTCTGAAGCAGATGGGTTGGGCTGTTTCGTCACCGTTTCGGGCGAACTGGCGAGCGCCGTTTCGGGGTGTACACCCCTACATCTCCAAGTACCTCCTCAGAAGGTATGACTGGACCCTCCTGGCACCCACCCCAGTCCCACCTTCAACTTGGAGGCCATTTTGGGGTACTTAAGACCGTATACATTCGTATGCATCCGGTAACCATAGCAGTTTATAGGTGGCTCATCCGGCG